ATATATATATATATATATATTCAAAATCCACAATACCATAAATCTTACCTTCCCCAAAAATATACTGCAATAAAAGAAATACTTCTATTAATTAAGAATGAAGCAAAGTCATCAACAACTTTATAGTTTACATTTTACACACATTCACAAATATAATTGTTCCGATTTCTTTATGTTTTTCTTGCTACAGTTTAAAAGTTTATTAAATTCTAGTACTGAGATGAATGAATCAAATAAAAAAATAAATATGATGGAATCATAAAATTTAATAGAAGTAGAAGTTCAAAATCTCAAACAAAAGAATCAAAAGAGTTAAACTTCTAAAATTACATTAGGTACCCCATTTTTCTTTAAAAAAATTACAAAATATACCCCGCCGTGTCCAGTACGTGTCCCCCGCGTGTCCCAGCCGTGTCCACCCCGTGTCCCCCGCGTGTCCCAGCAGTCTCCACCTCGTGTCCCAGCTGTGTCCACCCCGTGTCCAATAAAAAATAATTTTTGGACACTTCACAGAAATGTCGGACACGTGTCCGAGTCTTAGACATGCGTACAGGACCCCTGAGAGGGGTGTCCGTGCTTCATAGGTTACTTATATTGATGGATATACTATTACTATTACCGTCACTGTCGAGGCCCTAGAAAAGGCCTCTCACTGCCCCCATTTACCTCCAGCAGGGGTAGACTTCCCCGTTCTTCAGAGACTAACAGATGCCACCATGGTTTTGGCTCTGAATAGTGAGAACATAGTTACCACTAAATATGCCAACCGGTCAAGCTTACCATTGAGTCTACGGTTTATCGATCATGTTCTGTACTGAAATGTTTACATGGCTGGATATAAGGTGCAACGAAGAATAGACTTCTTAGCAGCGCTTTATTCTATTCACACAGGCCACTAGTTCTCAGTGCCTACTATCATATGGGGCATAATGCTCAAGATCTATGATGAGTACATTTCAAAGGCCCAACCCCAACGGCCTAAGTTTCTGCCCTTCGTATACTTGATCACCCAGATTCTTATTGATCAGAGATATCCCTTCGCTCCCGACGAGCTGATAGATGAGGGATCCTGCCACTATCAGTGGAAGGACTGGAGTAAGAGCTACAATGCTCTTATAAAGGTTGCTCCACCAGCAGACCCAATAGATCCCACAGACCTAGTTCATGATCCTCCAGTTCCATCTCAGTCTCCATCTTACGATGGCTAGGACGTGCAGCAGTCTGATGCTGACTCGCGTATGCATGATCAGGAGGATGACCTCGTCATTCCCGATCTCAAGCCACCATTTGTCATGACCAAGGAGCACTATCAGTCCTTTCAGGGGAGCATTTCTTGTCTATAGGACCGTGTTACTATTCTGCAGGACTGTGTGATTACGCTTCAGTAGGATATAACCAACTTGCGAGGAGAGGTTCGGGGCATCATTGCTTTGGGTACCGAGTTGCAGATTATGATGGCCAATTTGTCTAGAACGTTTCGGAGTTCTTACTCCGCGCGACCATCATCCTCTACATCATAACTTTATCTCTCTGTCTGTCATTATATACCCGTGTATGATACATTTTGATATTTTGTAGTCAGTCTGTTGGCCTTATTCATTGTGATGTATTTATGACTGCTATTTTTAGATATTTCGGATATTTGTGCATACTTCTCTTTACATATATATGATGTTAATTCCGATATCAGGTACATTGCAGTGACCATTTGAGATATCCATTTCTCTCTTCTTAGGACCTTTTTTTTATCCATATCTCTATCTCTGTTTTTACTGCCTTTGCATGCATATTGCACACCTATCCTATCCCATTTGTTATTTTGACGAGGTTTGTCCCAGTGTGATCTTTTTAGGACCATAGTTGATCCTAAGTTTGGGGGGGGGGGGGGGTACTACCACCCATTTCGGATCCTTGCGTCCTTGTTTCATCTTGCCATTGTTACACTGGTGTACTCTTTCCCTCTTTTTCATTGTTCTCATTGCACATTGAGGATAATGTGTAGTTTAACTTTTGGGGTAAGGTGGACCTTTTGAATTCATTTCAAAATTCTAAATATAATATGTGCATGTGAGATTTGAGATTCATTTTCGGTCCATAAATGGCTATGATTTTGATCTTTTGAAGTATAGTTGCCTTGGAATGACAAGTTTTGAGAGTGCAATACTTATTGTATACTTTAGGATGTCATTTAGGGGTAAAATTTTAAAATTTTGATATCATGCTTGCTTTAGTGGTCCACGTCATCTTCCTTGTTGAAAATGCTTTGAAAATTGATTCTAAAGTACTACATTTGCACAGGCGCACGCTAGCATGCAATTTGTGGGGTACATGCTTAGTTGATTATTGTTTTGGTTATATCCCATTTGAGTTGGTAGGGTTTAAAAAATCATCATTCTTGACAAAATGACCTTGCATGCTAAATAACAAACTTTTTTCATCGAGTAACCGGGATTCGTGCCTCGTTAAGCATTGAAATCTCACATTAAAAAGTGGAGGGCCAAATTGAAATAAGAACTTTTTTTACCGAGTAACCAGGATTTGTGCCTCATTAAGCATTGAATTCTCAAGTCAAAAAGTGAGAAGTCGGGAAATGAAAAGTGAAAGTTGTTTTAATTTGTAGCTTAGTTGATTTGAGCTTTTAAGTCTTTAGGAGTGTTTTTACATCTAATGCCCTAAAGCCGTCCGGTTTGGGAGTCATTGACCTGACGTTTGTCACACAAATCTTCTAGAAAGCTTAAAAGATCTTTAAATTACACCATACTCTTATCTTCGATCCCATTGGAAAATATATATATATATATATATATATATATATTGATTGAATAAAAGGTTCATTTAAAGTCTTGATGATTGATATTTGAGATGTGTGCTAGTTTGAGCCCGGTTTATGATCTTTACATTGATTTTACTAAGATAACAACATATTTTGATGCTGGTTCACTCAAAAAGGATGCTAGAGTTGATTTCAATTTGCATAATTAACTTGTTTGATGTGTGGGGACTATATTTGCTTGCATGATGTTGAGATATCAAGAATAGCTTAGAAATGGCTGAAATTTTCATACTCGAGGTAGCCTTCTCCCAACACTTGCTTGAATTGTGTTAATGCTTCTTAAGTGAGAAAGAACCTTTGATGTTTATGGGTATCATTTCTGAAAACCCTCACGAGACTTCACTCGTTAACTAGGGGTAACCTAGGGGTTTAAAAGGTTTGTTGCATATGCTAAATGCAACCGCGTTATCTTTTTATTGCTTTATTTATTTTAGTTGTATAGTTGTTTCTCTTTTATTTTATTCTTTGCGCATTGCTAAAGGACTAGCAATATTTAATTCTGGGGGTGTGTTAAGTGCTGAAATATGCACATTTCAACCCTAATATTGAGTATAATAGAACCTTATTCTATCTTTATTTTTCCACTTTAGTCTTATTTTGTGTTTTTTCCCTTTTCAGGTGTATAAGGTTGAAATGCCCTAACTCAGATGTTTTAGAGTATTAAGAGGATCAACCAAAGTCTTGGTGGAAAAATGGAGCAAAAAGGAGGTTGAAGCTGCAAAATTTCCTTTTGGATTGATCGAACCAAGTCACGATCGATCACACATGATCAATCCAGCCCGATTCCATGATGGATCAAAGGCCTTGTTCTTATCCAAATAAATGCCTTTGTCCTTATCCAAATAAAATATCTTTCATCATTTATGATCGATCAAATCCTTCCATGATCGATCACAAACATTGTTCTTATCTTTATAAAAATATCGAGACTTTATCCTTATCCACATTAATAGCTGTCACCTACCCATGATCGATCAAACTTGCCTCAAAATCTATGAAAAACATAATTGAACCCTCAATTCAGGGGAGCTCGTGGTGCAATCATTTGAGGATCCTAGTGCATGAGGTCAGACCATTTGGAGGTCACTAGAGCCACCTATGTAAAGGAATTAGCCCTTTTTAGTAAAAGAGGTTGGGCACTTGGCAAGGATTAGGATATTTTGGGACATTCTCTCTCTACATTCACACACACTCTTTCTAAGGTTTCAACCAAGAAAGAATAAAAAGAAGACAAGTCAAAGCTTAGAAATGGATTGTGAAGCTACCTCGATGACATCTACCTTCTTTATGAATGGCTAGTTTTTCATTTAGAGCTTGGATGAGCCCTAAACATGTGTAATTAAACCTTTGTCTTTCAATTTTGGGGATTATTAATTGTAATTAGTGCTATGATCTTGTGAATTCAAACTTAGTTGTACCAAGGTTTATACTGATAATTCTTTTTAGTGATTATTTATGTTGGTTGCATGTTGTCTTATGTGTAATTAATTGAGGATTAATCTCTACACTAAGTGTTTTTTATAATTGTGCTTAGTGATGGCCATGCATGGTTCTTATTGGATATAATTGTCAACTAGTTTGATTGGTTATGCTTAGTCTTGATGGGTTGTACTACACCTTAGATTAATTCTAGTTAGGTAGATAATTCATACTTGAATTTGATAGTACATGCTTATTATTGCAATTTCTATTATCCTCTTGATTTGATGTATGCTTGTAGCCACATTTTGATTACAATAAGTTTTCCCCATTAATTGAAGGCACTTGGTTTAGTTGCACGAGCTTAATGGTGCATTCTATGCCCTAAGCCTCTCTTTTTATCTATAAACTCAATTTAATCTAGTTTTAATTTCAATTACATGTTCACATTATCTCACATTAGTTTAATCAACCAAGCAAATATCTTTTCAATCTCACGCTCATTAATGTCAAGTTAGATTCCATACCATAATCCCTATGGACTATCCCTTCTCACTTTATACTCACGTATAAGTGTTTTATGACTTTTATAAATGTAAAAGTTGATGTCCACTTAGCACATTCTTAATTCTAAATATTTAAACACAATTTTTGTGGTAAACACAATAGTTGCATCAATTTTATAAATGTAAAATTGACTTTCAAAGCTTCCAAAATTACATTCATATTGACCTTGTGAAGTGACCTCTCACAAAGAGACCACATCAAAAATGGGTGTTGTATAAGGCATAAGGTCAATAGCAAACTCCACCTCTATATGTGGTGGTAACTCCGTTAAATCTTTCGGAAACATATCTAAAAAATCACACACAACAGCCGGATACACGTCCCCATTAAAATTATCATCATCAACTAAAAGACTAGCCAAGAAAAAATCACGACAATCTCGGCCCTTAACACTATAAAACGAAGAAATGAGGGAATCACTCCAATCTCCTACAAAACAAAAACAATCCCCTTCCGGAGTATAAACTGATGCCTTGCCCTTGAAATAATCGATAACAGCTTAAAACGATGCAAACCAATCCATCGTAAGGATGACATCAAAACCTGTTATCTCAAGAAGAATGAGGTCAAACTCGAGTGTCTGTCCTGCAATCGTAATGGCATAACCACGACAAACTCTATTAAGAATAACTGAAACCCTGATAGGCGTATCAACATTGAGTGGCTTATCTAACTGACTAACCTCCAACCCCAAAGCATGTGCAAATGATGATGCAATAAATGAATACGATGCACCTGAATTCATCAACACGCTACCCCAGGAATAGAACACAAGAAACATACCTCTAACAACGGATGGACCAGATGATGGCTCAGCTGGATAAGTAGCCGGAATAACTGTATACATTTGACCTTGGGTCCTTTGCCCCTGAAAACCACTGGCATGATAGTCGGACTACTGTATATGTGCATTAGATGGAGCCCCCCTAACTAGTCGTGAGCCTTGAGACATTATGGCTGGCTGTGGTAGCGGTGGTCAAAACCCTGACTGAAACGTGGGAGACTATGTTGGCCTCTGCTATGACCCCCTACCACTGACTGTACTACCACCCCGTTGTGGACAGTCCCTGGCTTGCTGGCCATACCTAAAACAACTTCTTTGAACTGACTGAATCTGTGGACATTATGTCTTATAGTGCCCGGGCTGCTTACACTTGAAAAATATCACTTCTGGTCTAGACGACCTTAAGAAAACTAAAGCTGCTGGTGCAGATCTAGCTATTTACTCACTCTTATGCTTCTTTTGTGTATGAACCTCAGAAGTAGTACTCGCACTCCTGCCCTGTTTGTATGACTCTTGTATAGCCTATCTACTCTTGCTCTCTGCCTCAACAACTAAGGCCTTTCTTACTGCCTTTGCATACTCTGTCAACTTTGCCGTTGCTACTGCCAGCCTAATAGTGAAATTAAGGCTATTAACAAACTTCAATGTCTTCTCTTCCTCATCATTAGCTATCTCCAGTTCAAACCAAGAGATAGATGTGAACTTGTTCTCGTACTTTGTAACTGACATGTTCCCTTGCTTAAGATTGACAAACTCTGTCCTTAATTCCCTCTTCTTGGGAACCAAAAAATACTTCTCATAGAAAAGTTGCTTGAAAACATCATAAGTTATAGTAGTCACATCATAAGTGTGAGTTATGGTTTTCCACCAAATCTCTGTATCATCCATGAAATTGTAAGTTGCCAAAATGATCTTCAACCAATCCGATGTTTCTCTACCCTATCAATGAAATTATCCACAACAAGCAAATCCGAACAACCTTCAAACAATGTCGGCATCAACTTCACGAATCTAAAAATGAAATCAAGAGTCTTTTCCGACTTGGATTTCTTTGGTTGTAGAACTAGTTGATGTGCCGGTTGCGGAATGGTGGCAACGATAGCCCAAAATACATCCTAGAAAAGATGGTTAAGGTTTGCCTGACCAAACCCTCACCCATATTAATAGATGCCTTTACATTCCCCCTCATAGATAGTACCCCTAGGTGGAACTAAGTCCTTAAGAAGTGTCTCTTCATCAACTTGTTCCGCGGGATTTGAGCTACAACTTTCCCCAGCATCACCCTTTGTTGGTCTATCAACCTTTGGCTTAAGACGCTTTTAAAATGGTGGCATGATGCTATAAAACAAGAAAATAAATCAATAACAACAACACTAACAATCTGTCCGAGAATGACATCCTCAAACAACTCACTCGTCAATAATGATAACACTTAAACATTTAATATGCATCAATTAAATCATAAATCTCAAATCATTTAGCACACATGCTTTAATTCACATAAACATCTCATATACATGGCTATGTAACAAATACTTTAACATTTAAACATGTGAGCACATAACAAGTAAGCATGCTTCTCAAAACATTAAACACTTAAGCCCCAAACACATAGTCAATGCAAGTCAACCTTCCGCCCCATCTAGGTAAACCATTACCCATCGTCCTAAAGGTTTTCAAACCTTTGCTCTGACACCAAATCAGTAATGACCCAAATTCGGGGATCCGGATTGCTAACCGAGTTTTACCCGAACCCGAGGACATACAAGGGTACTATGGTCATTTTGCGTCGAATTAATACTTAAAGACCCATCAAGGGTAAAATAGTTATTTAACTCAATTATAATGGTTCAATACCTAAATGGGTAGAATGGTCATTTACTAAGATCACCCAATGATTAAGATGAAGTCCAGGGGTAACAAGGTCATTTCACGTCATTATGGTGCTTCTAGAATCTTTAGGGGCATAACTGTCATTTATTACATTAAATTTTAACTTACAAACTCTTTAAGGGTAAAACTATCATTTTCTATGGTTAATATAGGCTTTGGGTGAAGTCTGGGGGTAATCAGATAATTATACATAAATCTGGGGGTCAAACTGTGAATATTAAACCATCTGTATGCACAAATGGTCCATCCTACCGTTTAGATGGAAAATCCAGTGAGGGTGTCAAACTAAGGGACCATATGTGCGCACAGATGAGGGCATCTAATAGCACAGATGACCATCTGTGCGTACAGATGGAAGCATCTAATCACACAGATAAACATCTGCGCACACAGATAGAAGCATCTGTTTGCATAGATGGTTTCTAGATCTGATCTAAACGTTAAGATAACCCCATCTCATCGTTTAGATCATGCACAAAACTAATGTGATCGAATATATAGATCACTTCCCAAATCCATCCATTTACATCCTAAACTCAATAATCACAAAAAATATAAGTCCCAAAACATCATCAAACTCATAAAAAACGCATATAATCTTAAAAAATAATTCATTGATTCATCATTTAAAGATTAAAAACTTTCATGATTCATTACATATATACCCCAAAAGAATACTCATTTCCCAAAAGAATAGATTTACAAAACAATAAGGCCTCTATGGCCATGATTACAAAAGCTTCACTTGAAGCTAACAAAAGAATAAAGTTAAATTACATGATTCCATTGTTTATGTAATTACATTCCAAAAGATAACAAAATGCATCAACAACTCTTAAGCTTACGGGGTTGCTCCTTCTATGGTGTGTGCCGTCCCAATGCACCAAATTGTATGCAAAAATGGAATGTAGTGTGGCCAAGTTTGAATTTATAGAGTGCCATTACCCCTTCTAACTACAAATATAGCTAGGTTGAGTAGGGATCGTCCCAAAGGAAAAGGGGCAGTATTTGTATGGAAACAATGTTGGATTAGTAGGTCGAGTGATCAAAAGATGGTTTGTTGGTTGAGTTAAACTACAAATTAAACTAGACAAATACAACATAAAACAACTAAATTGAGTAAAGTGTAGAGAATGAGAGAGAAGTCTTGGGACTTAGAGGCCACCACTAAACATCACATTCCTAGACATTCAATGTTTAATGGGTGAGGGGGATTATATATTACAATACCAGTATGTGTCATTGATTGAATCAATAAGCAATACACATCATCAAATTAGAGAAATATACTACTTGCATTCATAAGTATGGAACATCAAACAACAAGTATGTATTGTCCTCCCATCTAAGAAAGTAAAACAACTACACTACAACTAAGCTAGGGACATGAAAATTAAACTAATTAAACTAAGGAAGAGGCACAATCCATCAAGAAATGAGTATGAACCATCAAATAAACCTCAAGAGTATCCATTTAAACATCATGTCTTGACCATCACTAGATTCATAGCATCAACACACATAGACATGTATCAATATCACAAAACCTAGATATAAACACATGAACATCTATTCTAGCATACATAGACATATGCATGGAATGAAATGATCAATTGGAAGTATTAAACTACACAAATCATGGTAAAAACAAGATATATATATATATATATATATATATATATATATATATATATATATATATATATATATCAAAGGTCAAGACAAGAATTACAACACTAATCCCAATTAATTACAAAACATCAAAGTCTAGGAGGCATGCTTAGGGTTAGCTCTAACCCCAAGAAGATGTTTAGCCACTCATTGATGTTATCATCCAACCCTCAAAGGCTATCTCTATGCTAGAAATGATCTTCTTCCTCTTTGGTGGAAACCCTAGAAGAGAGGAAGAACTTTCCCAATTTGTGTATATCTCTCTCTAATCTCTAGCCAAGTCTCCCTAATTTAACCAACCTCTTTACTTAAAATAGCTAAAATCCTTATATAGGTAGCTCAAATGTCACACCTAATGGTGACACCTTGTGCACTAGGACTTCCCAATGATTGCACCACGAGCACACATTTAATTTGGCTTGAAATCAACTTTTCACGCAACTCGAGGTAGTTCGATCGATCTTAAGGTTGGTTCGATCGATCGAACCTTGGCGGCGCCTTTTTGGAATAAAGACAAGGTTGAGATATTTTTGGGAAGAGGACAAAAGTGGTAGGTGAGGATAAGATCAAAGATGTTAGATCGATCGAAGAAGGCATTTTGCTGAGAATAAGGACAAAAGGCTCAATCTATCTTAGCATTGTTGGAACGATCACTGTGTGATCGATCTGTGTGATGCCCCTCGAATCCGAGACACGGGTTGATCAGGCCCAGGCCCAAACCCGAGGGATAGCAACTAATTAAAGTATTTTAAATCGAACACGGAATACAAAGTGAAATACGAAATAATATAATAAGCTGAAAGAAACTAAAAGAAAACCCTTGTATCATAATTAATCAAATCCGATAATCCAAAACTCCATAAGTTTACAACTCGAGAATCCATCCATTGGACCCCTTATTAAAATTCTCAAACCAAAACTGAAGTAACTGAAATAAAGTCTAAAGCTAACATAGAGAAGATTCCTACATAATCGGAGAAATGAATATCTGTATCTGCTCTGCACGTCCAAGGTCTAACCCTGGAACTGACGAACACCTGAAAAATAAAGGAGTGGGTCAGGCCCACATGCAAGTCCTGATCTACTACAATTTAAACAGTAATCCGATACGCAGATACATCCTAAGAAGACTCAACAATATCTAGAGTAGTCCATATATGTATATAGTACACACTATAGGACGCTCACTAGTCCAGTAGGTCTGTCTCAGCTTGAATAGAAGGCAACATGCAAATACGCACCCTAAGGTGGGCATGAGTACCTAGACCTACCAGGGAACAACACCTATGTCCAGTTATCCATCCTAGGTAATATACACGCCCTAACCATGGTCATGAGACTCAAGCTCATACCACGACACCATATAATATATATATAAAATCCGTACTCCTCCTAATACAAAATACCATCCATCTGTGTAGTGGTCTGATATATGTATAACAAATCTATCCTGAAACCATAGTAGGTCATTCAATTTATTTGATTGACATGACACAAGTAGGTGATGGACTTAACCTTTATGGTTAATCCATACCTTAATCCAAATTAGGTAGGACTTAGTGTTTTGAACTAATCCATTCCCAATATAGTTAGGTCTTAGTGTTTTAAACTAAGCCATCCCTAATATGACACCGTCCCATACCGGTTCATATATATCCATGTAAGTAGGACTTAACCTTTTTATGGTTAATCCAACTCATTCCAAATTAGGTAGGATTTAGTGTTTGAACTAATCCATACCTAGTATGTCACCGTCTCATACCGGTACATACATTCCTCCAGTTAACATAATTGACCATACAATATAAAGTAGTCATCAACCACACTCCAAAATATACACAAGATAAATTTAATGCATATACATATAATAGGCATTCAATATAGAGCCTAAAATCCAGTTCCAGTAATGTAAACTGCTATATTAAATTTAAGCATTTACATCTTCCAACATAGTCCATGAATTGATACATTTAATAACAATTTAAGTACCAATTAAATCCAACCTAAGTATAGTTGAGTTTAATTAAATCACCATACTTAAAACACTGTAAAACATGATTTATATATATCATTAAATCATATATTAAAACTTTGCAAAGTTCCGGAACATAACTAGCAAAACGGTATGCAACGTATAGATCTATCCTGAGCTTCACAATGTCCAATCCCTATTCCATTTATGAACTATTGTTTCTCTTTGTTATTACAGGTCCACAACAATCCTATAAAACATTTAAAACAATTTAAATGAGGAGCTAACACTCTGTATAGTCCAAACAGTGCACAAAAAAACCAAACTGGTCGTTTAAAACCAAAATCCCAAC